TTTTTTTTTTTTTTTTTTGTTTATAGAGCGTGGGGGGGGGGGGGGGGGGGGGGGGGGGGGGAATGTGGGAAAATTAAAATGTATGTGATAATGAATGGATGAATGCGGTGTTTGAAAAAGCATTGGAAGGAACCCCCCTCTACCCTTCCCACTGTAAGCCCTCAGCCCTTTTTTAAGTCTTAGTAAAAGGGATATGTGAAAAAAAAAAATTGCTTGAGATTTGCTCATCAATCCAGCACCATTTTGTTGATAGATCAATATATGAAGTACTAAAGAATTGTTAAACTATGACAATCTGCTTCTTAGAGCTCTTATTGTTAAGTTGTATTCCAGTTTTCTGCTGTTTAAGACCTAAAATATTCCACCTCTCCCCTGATTTGAGTCTGTAGCACTTTTTTTTTTTTTTGTCTGTATTTATTTAGCTTCGCAGTAGTTCACAGCGTCATCAACGCTTTGCTGCAGTGGCGTTTGAGCAAAGCTGCTTACTTTTTTTTGTTGTTTTTTTCCCAGCTGGAAGTGAACGAGAGAAGAACACTGATTGTTGTTTTCTCGCCTGACGTGTGGAGATTAACGGCTAGTCTTGTGAGCATTAGTTGTTGCATGCTTATCAACGCAATCCTCCCATTGCTTTATTGGTAATGATTTAAATCCCTGTGAAAAAACAAACAGTTGACTTAAATAAATGTGTCAGAACAATGTGAAGATCTTTTGACTTTTCTTTCCCCCCCACTTATGTCCCAAAGGCTCAACTTTCTTACCTCAGACTTTTCTAGTTTTGTTTTATGCCATTCCCTTAAATTCATCTCTTAAACTGGCATGTAACAATCTTTTGTTTAATCTCAACTTGCACATACACTCCGCAAATCTGGTTTTTATGGAAAACTGGCTAGTTGAGATGTAATAAGTGGTAGAAGACGGTCCGGTCAGAAGAGAACAAAATTCAACTCCTTAGTTTCCAGTCAAACAAATACTAATCCTCACTTTGAACCAGGATGGTCATGCTGTTGGGATGTTTTTGTTTGTTTGTTTTTGAGCAAATGCAATGAAACTGGTAAAAGTCCAAACCCAGCTAATGACTGGTAAATACTGCTCACATAATCTCTCCAGGCAGTCCAACAGATGCAGATTTTCCTCATTGATGTTGGGGATTAAGATTAAAGAATTAAAATATATATATATATATATATATATATATATATATATATATATTTATTTTTTTTTTTTTTTTTGTTAAACTGAAGAATTTAACTTGGAAAATCAGATTTTTAGAAATGCATGCTGCATTTCCAGATTCCACATTGACCTGCCGTTTTTATTTTTATTTTTGGAAGGTTTTTGTTCAATGATGAAAACGTCTAATGCAGGACCAAAAATAAAAACCGTATGAAAGTGTGAACATGATGTTTGTTGTAAAACTACACAGATTCCTACTGTTTATTGTCAAATTGAAAAGGAAAAAAATGAACGGCTTTCCTATAGAGCAGGGGTCCCCAAACTTTTTCCTGCGAGGGCCACATAGCTGTTCCTTTCTGTGGTCTTAGTTTTTGCAGTAAAAAAAAACAAAGAAATTCTTGTCGACGGGTGGGGGGGGGGAGACGACGACACTTTTGGATAGATTTTTACCCAGAATGCAAATGGAAAAAACCGTGAGTGAAACGGTGACTGACGAGTATATATTCCATTGAGGGAAAGTAAGTTTCACATTTGCTCAAAAGCCCCCTGGTGGTTGAAGAAAAATCCACATATAAACCAGAAAATACAACATATGAAAAAAAAACGCTGAATGCTCTCTGGTATGAGCAGGCGGGCC